AATGAATGCGTAGTCTTTGTCAGCTTAACAAATGAAAGGATATCTCCAAGATCGTACGCAGCTTTTTCCAAAGGGGAGTCAAAACATTTGTCAAAATAATATTTAATGCATAAGATGAACAGAAAAACTTCAAAAAATCACACTCAGTTCCATTTGCAGGCAAAATAGTGTGCCATAATAATCAATGTATGGTTAAACTTCAGACCCCTGCGTACGCCCTTGGATACCTTCACTGAATAAGTACATAAATTTAGTTTAATGGGAAATATTTATAAATTGGTAATCGGCAGATCGGATCTCTCTGACCTCTCCCAAGTCAAATAAATTGAAATAAAGTTAAGCCCAAAAGTTTAATGACTTGATTGTGTTTGGATCAGTCAACAAAAAGGGCCGAAAAATGTTGAGCCCATAAATATACAAAGCTTATTATTGTTATTTATTAAAATACAAGAAAACTTCCTTGACCGAGTTAATAGACTTACCATTGTTCGAAAAAATTTCGAAACGTTTTTATAGGAATTGGCGTTTAAATAAAAGTAGATCGGCTCACTTTAATGAACTATTTAACGGCATAGAAAATATAATCATAAACAATATATCTACGCATACACATTTTCTGACTTTTCTTGAAGATTACGTTTTCATTAGAACAGTTGTAAATACAAGTAGGTTTTACATTTCATCAGTAGAAGTGTTTTTGGATCGTCTTCGACTTAATCTCAACTGGTCAATTATATGATCTTTAACAATTTGTTATAAGAAGCTCACCTAGGAGAAATAGACAATAGAAAATAGACAATACGATTATTTGCATCAATTTTTTATACAGCTATATTAAGCAATTTCCACATTCCAGTTATCTAGAATGAAGTGGAGTAATGGTTTCGAACTTCATTTAAAATTAAAAAAATAAAATAAGTGTGTGAAACAAATTTGTAATAATATTTTTATATGTTTTGCAATCAATACTGATAACCATATATTCAAGAAAAATTGAAGTACGTTTTGGTTTGATAGAGATTATAACAAAGTGCTATTTAAGAAATTTTATTAACAGAAAACCTATATGATTCTAAAAAATTGTCTAACGCCTAATGGGTATTCTTTATTATAACAAAATTAAATACTTACTCTTTCCAGTTTTTCCCTAAGATGAAAGGAAGAAATGAACATACACATAGTCCTTCATAATTATGTTCACTTACACTACTCTGCATGATTTCCCAATTATAGGGGTGAGCAGAAATATTAATGCTCATGCGACAAAATGCGCTACGCTTAGCATTTGACACGCACTGTAAATATGTGAGCGTTTGCCTGTCAGTGTGTGTGTGTGTGTCAGTGTGTGTGTGTGTGTGTGTGTGTCGAGTGGATGAGTGTTTCGTTTGCCTTCGAACGTGCTCTGGCATGGACATTACACATACGCCATGTAGACAAAAGAGATTCAAATGCAAGCCGATATGATGATTGTCCTCACATAAACACATTGCATATGTTTGTTTTTAGATACATACATACATATGTAGATATAGAAAATATTACTAGGCAGTTGAGTCAATAGTCCCCAGCCCCATTGATGCCCCTCCATAAGTTACACAATCACTCATTTTGTATTTTGTTTATAATTCAAAAGGAACATTTATTTTATTTGCTTTGTTCATTTAGTTTTGTGTCTTTCACAATATTTTCAATTTCTCTTTTCATTCTATTTATGTATGTAGGTATGTACGAGTATCTGTGGGTGTCTGTTTGTTTATTTTCCTTTGCTTTCCACACCCGAAACTGCCGCAAAATTGTCGTCTGTTTTGGTTGCGTTTGGTTAGAAGTGGTGCGGTGTCCTTGTGGAGGTGTGTGGGTGTTTCTGTGTGGGCACATACATACATACATATATAGTTTTTGAATACGCATAACATATACATACATAGATATAAGTATATCTAAAGATAGACAGAGACAGATACATCTATATAAAGTGTTTAAGAGTGAGACGTAGGATGAATGACAATAGTGTGTTTGTTTATTTGCTTTTTGGTTTGATGTTGTAGTTGCTGTTTTGGTTTGGCTTAAAAATACACAGAGAAACATTTTATTTTATGTTTATTTGTGAGTGTGTACGTATATATTTTCATCTTGCTGGTATAAGCTTATAGCTTTGCCTTTGCCATTGCCATTGCCCTTTTCCATTTCTTTCCTTTCCTTTCATTTCGTTTCGTTTCATTTTATTTTTTATTTGGTTTTGCTTAGTTAGGATTTTCTTCAGCGTCGGCTCTTTCCTTTTTTCTTAATAGAGTTTACAGTTAGTTTGCAATTTAACGACAAAATACATACATTCATATACATTTATATAAATATTGAAACACATTTAGTTAGTTGTTAGTTAGTAGTTGGCTGCTTCAGCTTCAGAATATGCTGTAATGGTTGTGTGTGCGTGTGAGTGTATGTGTGATTGTGTATGTGTGTGTGCGTGTGTGTGTGTGTGCGTGTGTGTGTGCAATGTATGTGTCCTCATGTTTAGCCTTTGCGGTGAGCATGAGATGCAATTTTATGCTTTTCCCATTCATCTATTTTCAGTTGTTTCTCATTTTGAGTGAAGATTAGTGAAGCTTTTCATTTGTTTTTTGTTTTTTCCTTTCTTCCAATTGCGCACAGTGCTTGTAATTCATGAATTCCTTTGGGAATTTTCAATCGTTACATCTTTGAGAGCTTTTGGAAACTACTACGATACACTCACGGCTTATTTTGTTCTGCACTTTACCATTTTGCATAGTTGCCCTTTTTTCTCTCTCTTTTTTGCTTTAGTTATTGCAGCTTTTCTTTTTGGATACAGTTTTCTGATTATTTTTAGAGTGCAAAATAGAATTTGAGTGGCGATATTTGTGGATTAGTAAAGAAAAACTCATTTTTATATAGTAGATAGACGAATAAGCATGTAGTATGTAGCATGTATGTAGTGTTAGCATTAGTAGTATTAATAGTTTTGTATACATCATATATATAGTATATATCTGTATGTCTGGCAGTATACATGCAGGCTGACTTTTCTGTTATTTGTGCTTGCCATCAGTTGTTTATCAATTAGTTTTCAATTACAAGTAGCTTAGCATTTTTTATTTGAAACTATTTGAACAACATTTATTCTACAATAAATAGTATGTGTGTTGCTTGTGGTTTTCTATCAAGTATTGTGGCTGGCTTTTTTGATTGTGCGCAACTTTCAGTTGCTATATACTATATTGTTAGTTGAATTGCAAATGAAAACAGAAACAGAAACACAAACAAACACAAACAATGCACTGCAATTAAGGCAAAGATATACAGAATAACAATGGCATGCTTTTTAAATTAAGCTATAAAGATAAAATATCATAACATGAAAATGAAATTCATTAGTGTTGACAACTTCTGTGGTTGACATGAACATTGCCAGGCGTTTGCATTGTGGGTTAGACAGAATTCCTATTCAAATAAACAAATGAACATCTACATGTACATTCGTATTTCATTTCAGAGGGGTTAATGGGAAGTTTAAAATGTGCTGGTGCACTACTATATACGGTTGTAACTTTTCTCAAGCGTCCTCTACTGCATATTGACCAATTGAATTGCATATCCTTATCGTTTTTCAAGGGTCCTGGCATACCTTTCATTTTAAAAATACACTTGAGGACGTCACTGAAATGCTGTTTGAAGTGCAAGTAAATTTATTGTTTGCTTTGTTCCTATAAATGTGTACAAGTACTCTTTCAATTAGATTTTCATTGCTTTTCAATTTATTTGTCAAGTAATCGCATTCAAACGTTGAGCTCCTTTCATGCAAAAGCATTATGAAGTGTTTTAATGGAAATGGCATCAGGCGTGAGAAGCTTCACATTAAATATGATCGGGGTAATTATGTCAAATGTCGGCAGTTAATAGTAAGCTTAGCACTTGGATATCATTTTCAAGTCTTAAAGCAAAAAACAAAAGTCGGTTTGAATTTGTTGCCTATTTTCTGATTGCTTCTACTACTTCCAGCTATGAAAATGTCTACAGTCACAACCCTTTTCACTCACAATGGCAATTATGCTGAGTAGAAGTCTCGGTACTGGCAAAGAGTTTAAGTGCTTGCCTCATACTACGAGTAAGTCCATAGGTACGAGTATGTACAAGTATGTACGTGTGTGTACCTTGTCTATATGCCAACAATTGCCAGAAATCTAACAAAGTTGTCAACAAAATGTAAGGCAATATTTTACGTAACCAAATTAAAGGCGAGTATGTAGTATGTATGTATGTGTGTGTATATATAAGTGTGTGTGTGTGTGTGTGTGTGTGCGTGTGCTTATGTAAATTTGCAAATTGTGTTTCTGTAGACGTTAGTTATGTAACGTTTCTTTATATTAACTTTTTGCATATTGCTTTAGCAATTTGCAAATGTGTGCATGGCTTTGCACTTAACATTTCACCTGATTTCAGCTTCAGCTACCACCATTGATTTATCTGCTACGTCCAGTACAATTGTTAATGTCATTGAGCAACGTCTAAACCTTGACTTCTCCATGTATATCAATAATCGTAATTGTAAATAAATAAATAAATTTGCCATAACAATTGAGGACAACATTTGAGAACAAAAGATTCTGTAGTCTGTTGTCGCACATTCTTACACTTTCAATAGAAATATTTCTTAATACATTACGTTCATTTATCATACATATACATATACATATAGTATTTTCTTTCACAAATTTTCGCAATATTTCCACAATAAATGTGTGTAAATGACTGTTGTATATCATTGAGTTTCTAACTACTACAGCAAACCTTCCAATTGTACTTACTGCAATTGTCTGGATGTATGTCTGAATGCATGTGTGTTTGTATGTATGTGTGTATGTGTGGGTGTGCCTGTCTGTGAGTTTATTTACGTATTTTGCAATTGTTTGCATTTATATGCTACATTCATTTAATTGGTTTTTGTTTGCCATTTGAACGCCTTAATACTTACACAACACATTCAATGATTACACACGCAAAAATCTAACAGGTAATTCACATTTAATCTCACATTTAAAATGCAAAAGTTTCAATTAATTTATGTAGTATGTACGATAATAATAATATATAATTGTAATAATAATAATTCACACTTCATTTCACTAAGTAAATGAAGCCTCTTACCATACCATGCTCAGTGCCTAGCCGAGCTCAGCCAACTAAGTATGTATTTGAAAACTAAATCAGTCCATCGGCATCATCATCATCATCACCATCATCACCATCATCATAATCTGTATTTCCTCAGAGCGCATGTCACACCTTAGATGTACATGCCCAAATCAGCATGGAAGTCCTGCAGATAGGATAGCAGCTGGGCGGGTGTGGGTCGTTGCTTGGACTCGCAGTGCCAGCAGCAGTTCATGACTGTAAAGCTGCAAGTATGGAACAGATTTACGAAAAATGTTATGTAAGTGAATTCTATATATAAGGAGCACAGGTTTCTCTTTTTCAACAACTGTTGCTACTCACAACTCATCCGGACAATTAACAGGCTGCTCCAGGCGAAAGCCAGCGGCTAGATAATTACTAAGCTCGAATATATCCACCTCTTCGTGTGGCATTTGTGCCAATGTCACCAGCTCCCAATAGAGCACACCCAGGGCCCAGACATCCGCCTGGCTGGTGTAGATTTTCTTTTGCAATGACTCCAGAGATAACCATTTGAGTGGACGATTCTCATTGTCGCCCAAGCAATCGTAATCATCGGGAAACAGATCGCGTGAGAGTGCGCCATCGCAAATCTTGACATAGGCCTCCTCATCGAGACTGCATGGAAATGGAAAGAAGTGGGTTTAATGTGTTTAACGACTTGGCATCCACTTTCTGTCCACTTACTAGCAATTGCGTGTGGCTATGTCCTTGTGAACGATGCCCAGGGAATGCAGATAGGCCAATCCCTTGGTGATATGCAAGCCGAACTCCACCAATTGACGGGTGCTGAGCGCTGTGCTGGATTCGCGAGACTTTTGCAAATATCTGTAAAAGAGTTGGCCCAAGAACAGAGCATGATAAATTTAAAGGTTTCTCATATTTCAGTTATAACATACAAGTATATTATAGTACAACTTTATTTATTATAAATGCCAGATTCGAAGGGTTCATTGAAATTCCATTCAAATCGAAACAACAATTATGTGAAAAAACACTTCTTTGAAAGCCTTTCCAAAGATCGATGCCATAAGGCCACAGGGATTGTTTGGACTGGAATCGAAGGCTTTTTCTCCTACATATGCTACGAAAAGTCCAAGAACTAAAAATTTTTTTACAGGTCTCATCTATATTATTATAGATGAGAATAATAACAATGTGAAATAGACATAAATACAAGACCTTTTTTATTCAAATATACGCAATTTTGCAAAAGTGCATTAATTGCTAAATTTATAAGATATTTTGAAAGCCATAAAATACTTTAAAAGAGGTCTAAGGTTGTTAGCCTATACAAATTAGGTATGCATATTAAGATATGGATTAGTTATAATTATTATTAGTTATAAACGCATATAATTAGCTTTTCCTAGTTGAAAGGAGTAGAACGCTAAAGTCACCCAAGCCCGACCATATCATCAAAAGTTAAACATCGGCTACACCTCTGTTAGGTAATTAATAAACAGATTAAACAATAATGAGATGAGAGGTCGACGCTGGTCTTTTAACACTCTTAGTGCAGGGTACACAACATTACTATTTTAATACTCTTTTGATAATAAGACAAGATCTCCCAAAATCTCCCAAGCTTAATCCGCATGCTGAGATGAATCGATATAGACATGTCCATCTGTCCGTCTGCCTGTCCGTCCACATTCGCCAAACATAGTTTGTAGACTCTCCTTATATCCAGACAACCCAAGATTCTTTTATTTTTTTTGCTTTTCCCTACCCGTCCGCACTTTGAAATCTACATAAACCAATGTATTATATAGACAAGTAACTACTTTTGTTTTAAATTGCATCTAAATCGGTTAACAATTGAACAAAACAATTGCACTTGAATACTATTCGCCCTTCTTCTCTTTATTTCTTCTCCTATGGACGCATAGAAGGGGAATTTCACTTTCGGACTTGTTTGACTGTAGCGTTCGCTCTTGTTTTCAACTGCAGTTGGTCTATTAATTACCCCAAATAGGATTAAAATAGTCTTAATATTGAACAAAAATGAAGTTGATGTAAAAGGAATCAGTTGTCGGCGTAAGATCAAAATCCTTTGAACGTTGATTATTTGACAGCTAATGGCTGGCACTGCATGGACCGATAATCGGCTTAACTTTTTATGGCAATTTATGAATAATTAGTGAAGGATATAATCAATTAAATTAAGTGGATAACTTACATTTTTAAATTGCCCTTGGACGGATAGGGGTACGCAATTTCCGGTGGACCTGGCAGCTCCGTGTTTGCCAACAGTGGAGCGAGAATATGCTGATGACTGACTCCAATGAGCAGCGAGGCATCCTGCAGTAAACAGGCCACCTGTGTTAGTGAGGCGCCATCGATGACTGTCTTGACCAAGGCGTCGCAAGTTTCGCCCAATTTGCCGGCATAGATGCGTCCGAAGGTGCCCTCCTTGATAAGCTGTTCGTAGCTCAATGCGCCGGGTTGGACACTGGGAATACGTCGAATGCGCTCTTTAGTCTTCTCACTGCCCAGAGTATTGACGGCCCCAAATAGGCTGCGGCTGCTCTTTGGTGTCGACATGCTGTAGGCCTGCAAGTCAAACGATATGAATTGAACTTTCATGTTAGACTCATTTGAATACGAGTATATACTAGTATACAAGTAAGGTGGAGATGCAAGACAGTACAGCAAGGGTTTGAAGGTTCCTGCAAATTTGCATCGTAATGGGAATTGGGCGAGGGGCCATGGCAAACGTAATTTCAGTTGCCGGAATTACATCTTTCAGTTTGCGTCCGTTTACCGTTAGTCATGCACTTCAGTGCTCTCGCTCATTCATTTTAATGAATTGAGTTCCGTTTCCGCTTTCAGAGCACTGTTGATGTTGCCAACTGCCGCGTCGACGGCTGGCAACATCTTCGCCATTATTTGTACATAGTACAGCGACGAAGCAGGAACGGGACCAACTAGCGAGCAGCAAACTCGGTTGGCAAGCCCGGCCATAGTTGTCTTACAGCATGAATAATTTATTGGTTGGCAAAAAGGTTTAATTCGTTGGGCATTATGTTTGCATAGCCGTTGCGCTGACGGGCGACCAAGACACAGGCACAGGCACAGGCACAGGCACTGGCACACGAACAGGAACAGGAACAGGCACAGGCACGGGCACGGGGGCGACAGGCACAGCAAGATGAGGAGAAGGATGCTGCGCAGCTGTAGGAAATTGCGAGCTCAGTTGTATAAACAACATTTTTGGGCTGGCTGTTAGTCGAAAAGGACATCTGAGGGGCCGGGTACAGCACACGCATACAGCGTAGGGAGCAGCTAATAGCTGCAGCTACAGGGGATAAGGATAAACAGCAGTGCACACGGATGATGGTGGTGGAAGGGGCGTGTACCAGTGCTTCTCTTTAGCACTTAAGCCCAAGACAAGCTGTCTACACGCACACATACAAGTATACATATGTACACATTTATATAAGTAGAAACTACAGTAAGAAATCTGATCTGTGAAATGATTTTTCGATTACAAATTATCAACAGAATTCCAAGTTCTAGGTACACTCATTAAGCTAAGTACAATTTCAAATGAGTTCCTATGCCATTCCTTATCTCAGCAGAGCAATCATTTGGATGGAGGAGGGATTACAATTTCATATCTTGTGTTTAATCGAACCTAGCGATGTGTAAATAATTTTAAATGTTCATTAAAACAGTTCACAAAATGTACAAGTAGTGCAATAATGTTTTAAATAATTTCAGAATTCAAAATGTTGCGTCAAATTGGCTTCATTTCATAAAAATTCATTTAAAATTTCTCTACATGCTTCAACTATTTTTTCAAGTAATTAAAAATGTGCGCATTTTCGGCAAAAATAATATGTTGTTTATTTTGCACATACTATAGGAAATAGTAAAAACAAGCTTATGTATTTATATTATTGTGCACATAATAGTTCTGTCATTTTTAATGAAGTTTTTGCTGTGCTCTTGTTTGGATTAAACATACTAAGTTCTCGTGAATAATGTTTAAAAAGTATACAATTAGGTTTTACCAACTGCATTGAAATGCAGTTGCGGCAACAAATATGGTTGACTTTTATTTGATTTCATATGCTTATTGGTCTTATTAAGAAAATACGATTTAAGAAATCAATTGCAATGCAGAAGCTAGAAATATTTGAAAAAGGAGCTTCGGCAATGGCAACTTGAGATGTGTTTCGCTAACTAACTAATATAAGCAATTAAGTTATTTTTGGAGCCAATGGTCTCATATAACAACATAGTGCTAACAATGAAGTAAATGCTAATAAATTGCAGTTTATTTTGATAAATTGAATCGACTAACTAATGTCAAAACAAGCTATTAAGCAAAACTTAAACAATTATACAAGTAAAGTATGTAATAAAAACCATTAATAACCATTAGTTTCTAATCGATATACTAAAGCCATGTCCGTCTGCTTAAGCACCGAGATCTTTTGAGCCACAACCGCTAGGTCCATCAAGTAAATCCGGGTGTTCATTACAAACCATATACTATATGACCCTATCTGTAATGGTACCGATCGATGCCAAAATCAATCTTATTGTTTATCAAGATGTCGTAACTATATTTAATGTAATGACTAATTTCATCACAATCGGCCCACTATATCGTACATGTACGAGTGAAAAGAGTCCGTCGAACAAAGTATTTTATTTGTGGACTATGAAGGATATAGGGGAGGGTACTAGGCATAAAAGAGTTGAAGGCGCCAATCATGACTCATTTTGCTTTTTCAGACTCCTGGAATCAATCAACTAATAAATAATAAAGAGTTGCCTATTAATTACAGTAATATTTGGAAGCAACATTAATGTTTTGAGTGCTACGTTGGATAGTCTTCCAATTATTATTATCATTGACTGTAGCAATATTAATGGGTACGGCTTTCAACATTTGGTGTTCAGAAAGTAGCAGTCAAAAAAATAAAATACCTCGGTTTGGAGAAATTAAAAATGGCATTTAGTTTTCAGTGCTGAATATTTCTGTGGCGCACCGATATATTTTATTAATATTCTTAAAAACAACTAAAAATGAAGACGATTCATTAAAATTGCAGTTGGCTGTACAGAGTGTGTCCTGTGTGTAGGGTGAGGAGCTCTCCCACGTCTTGCCTCGGTCCCAGAGCGACAACAGCACTCATTTGTTTTCATAAAAAACAGCAAAACTTATTTGTTTTCTCGCCTGCCGCTTGAGAAATGGCCCAGTTAGGTGCCGTGTGTTTTAGAATCGCTATTCGGCATGCTTCCAAAGCAAGCTAATAAACACAGGAAAAATCTTTTCATTTTGTTCTTAATTTTGTGTTAGAATTTAAATAAAAGTGGCAAGTGGCGAATGCCAAAGACGGGATTCTGGGTGGTTGGCCAAGCACTAAGCGCTGCTGGCTATTGTGACTAGGGTTGGCATAAATCTTCATCAACAAAATGGCAAATTGCGTGGTTGTGGCTGCCTAGCACCAAAGAAGGAACAAAAAAAGAATAAACTCGAGATTTGCCTCTTCTCATGTTCAGTAAAAAGAACAGCGGGAGCTTTTTGTGTTGGTTTTCTTGGTTTTGTTTTTTTTTTAGGTGTAACAGTTGCCGCCCAGCAATATTGAACACATTTTCATTTCATTAAAAATAAGGGAGCTATAAAGGCAAAGGCGACAATATGCCGAAACGTATATAATTATTATAACTAAAGAAAACATAGCAAGAAAAGCAAGAGCGCTGCTGGCAACAATAAAAACAATAGTTAAGGCCCTTTTGAGACTGAATTTCATTCATTACTGCCATTGCCTTTTACTTTGTTTTCTTCTATGGGCCTCTATGTATACATAGAAATTATATATATAGGTATTATATACGTACAAATGTGATTTCTGTTGTCACTGTTGCTGCCGGCAATTGCACAAAGAAAATTCAATTAAAGCCCAACAATGTCGCACTTCATCATCAATGCGTCCACTGTGTGTTGAACGGTGAATGCCTTCTCGTCCATCCGCTCCGTTCTGCCCAACAAACTGGACAGTATTCATCAACTCGGCCGTTGGTTGTGGCATTTAAAGGCTACCTGCCAGACTGCCTGGCTGCGATAAATCTTGTCGCCAAACAAAATTCAAAGCAACCAACGTCCACATACTATATAATGGCAACTGTTGCCACTTCCACCTCAGCAACAACAACAACAACAAAAACAGCAACAATGACAACAATGATAACAAAAGCGTCTACTGGCCACACCGGTGTCGCTCTTATTGCCCGGTCTGTTTGGATTTTTGTTAGCAACTTCCCCCACGTGCCTGATCATCTATGTATATCTATATGGGACTATTAATATGGGCGTATTGCATGCATTGTACAAGTATTATTATGAAGCTTTGTGCCAGAGTGCAAGTGTAATTATATATTATATAATCGCCTTTCTATTAGTTACGATAATAAGCGCCAATTATGTTCACAGTCATAATCTCTACTTAGGCGATGAATAGGGAAAACACGAACATTGTGTTCGACATGTACTAATTATTTGCTTATAATTAAAAGCAATTAAGTGATAGTTTAGTTGATTTTGCTTTTAAATATCTGGTATTAATTAAATACTTTTCGATTTTGTGCGCACTAACAGCAAAATGCCAATATCACAGCAATTGTGTGTTTGTATTTATATTAGAAGTAGAAACGATTTGTTAAGCCTTTAACACTTTCACTATTAACAAAATTTATCAAATATTGATTGCAAAAACATTCAATACCTTCTCATACAAATTCTGTATAGAATAGATAGATGTTTGCTTCTTCTGTGACACAACAATATGTATATAGTAATAATAGTGTGTACAACAGTGATCAAGACAGACAGACGTGACTGTATATTTTTAATTCTTTAATTTAAGAATGTAGAACTATTTGTGCAATTCAAAAACTGCAGCTATAATTTAAAAGTCCTTCCACTAGCACGTGAAGGAGTGAGTTTTTGAAATCAAAACGGCTGCTGAGCACAATTTCAATTAGAAATTGAAATCTCCAAATGCCAATATTGTATCTATAGTATTTTTGAGTGAAATATTTTCTATCACACACATATGTACATACATATGCATGTGTATCAATAATATTTGCCATAGCTACATTATTAAAACTGAAGTTGCAAATGAATCGCAATATATGTAGTATACAAACATATTGTGTATACAAATGTATATGTTGTATGTGCATGCATCCAATATTAAATGTTGATGTCAAAAGAATATGCATATCCAGTGCGGCTTTAACTGAAAATTGGCAAACAAAACTACAAGTATGTATGTGCATAGTGTGCGGCCTGTCAAAGCGCTAAAGGAAATGCAACAGCAACAAATATTCACTTGCATTTCATTGCAGTTTCATGTTGTCATTTGTTGGCAGAAGGGGATGTACAAATTCCATGGCATGCCAAATGGCTGACAACCGTGAGCATGTTCCTTGTTAGCGTCGCATAAATTTCTGCAAATTTAAGCTATGTTCTCTTATGTGTGCGTGTGTGTGTGTGTGCGCATTGCAACACTTGCCAGTGCCGCACAGTGAGC